GGAATCGAGGAGCCAGAAGGAGGCAAATGCAAATGAAATTATTTATCCGGGCTGATGATGTAGACGAGAGCCGTTCCCAAGGGCCGGAATTAGGGTACACGGCGCAGTGCTACACCACACAACGAGATACTATATATGGACATGTTTTCGGCCGTCTTCCTGTACTCGATCACTCAAGTAGCTTGCTTACATGTTCATGTAATTGGATAAAACTAGAATAACGGACTGCCATCAACATGAGCGCTGAGCTTACTGGCCTTAGAGCTATGGTCCCAGAGCCCCTATACGAGCCCGATGGCCGGTGAACGAGACCGAGACCAAATATAGTAGGTACAGCATGATTAATATACGGAAATATCTGAAGCATATGTGTCTACTCTGAATGAGACACGATGTACTTATAACATACGTTGGAGGACCGCCTAGCTGAAGCCTTCGGCCGCAGTGCGTTGCCGCAGATGTGACCCACAAGCACGTGTCAATTATATCCCAATTACCCGGTAGCATGTTCCCGCACTTGTAAATCCAGATTGCCAGTAGATCATCACCATGAGCGCGTGGTGCATGAAGGCCGTAGGCAGCCGTTTACCCTGGCCTCAGCATCTACGCTACATATTGTGCCGTCGTGGCAATCTCCCCAATTTCAAAAGTACAACTGTTGGGCCTTCCAAAGGACACTAGTAACGAACATTGCATTAGTATGATTAGATAGATGATATTTCCAAAACATAACTACGAATACATCACAACTAACATCAATAGTGTCACAAAGCACGATCAGATCATATTCTCTGGCCGTCTGTCCACTTAATGGCCAGGAGTTCAGAAGCAGGATGTTCTCGGGGTATAAACCTAGCCGTCATGAACGTTGCAAAGACAAAGGAGTCTCCTGGTGTTGACCGCCAGCGGCTTCACCGGGCCTGTTGGGTGCCAGTCTTAAGAACACATCAATGAAAAGGGACATGCGCGATTCCGCACCTTTTGTCGAGAAACGCCGGGCTCTCTTGCCACCCTTCTTCATTTGTACCAGTCGCTAGAATGGCTGCGCCTCCGTTAAGGCGGTCTCGCCCTTACTCTCTGGCGATGAATCCGGCGGCATATCAATTGAACGCTCTACCGCCGTCTCCATAGTGTTCAAAGGATGCTCTGTGATAGGATTGCCGGAGTTTACATTGGTGTGAGCCGCATCATGTACCAGACCAGGCTCCGTAGTAGTGCCCTCAGCCACATCTTGAGCCAACAGCACCACACCGTCGAGTGCTGCCGCCCGGGGGTCACCCAGCGTACCATTGCGTGCTTTCCGGATGAGCCTAGCCAAAATCGCAATTAGCGCATGAAGAGGTGAAAAGGTCGAAGTAAAACGAACTCGGCCATTGCCTCTGCTTCCTCAATAAACCCACGGGGATCAGCGCATTCTCCTCCTTCGGTCAGATCGAACGAGTAGTTGACGAGAGGCACGACATCAATATCATCAACTTTAGCGCGAAATGGACCAAGAACGGCCTCAACGATGGCATCAGTGTCGGCATCGCTGTCAGCATTAAAGAGGAGGTCATCAGCGTCGCTATCGCTGTCGACGCTGTCGGAGTACTCTGTGTCAGTGTCGCTATAGAGCGTAGATATACGATCATCTTCTGTAGTGATGGCGGCGTCAAAGTGCTCAGAGACAGCATCTTCGTGCGGACATGGCGCGCCGTCTTGATCCTCGCTGCAGTCGACCGCCTGAAGCCAGTCTTGCACATTCACGGCGTCAATAGGAGGGACAGGTGAGTCAGGGTTGGCTACGATCTCAGAGAATGCTGGGGTCTTCTCCGTTTCCACAGGCGGAGGGCCTAGAATCAGTGCAATGGTCAACTTCACACTATGAGTTGAAGTCAAAAATCATATTCACTCTGTTGTGCGCGTAATGCTTTGTGCTTGACCCAATCCTCACTAAGATATTGTTCATGTCTTATCCTTTCCTTTAAAGAGAGCATTACGGCATCGCCATAATCTATGTGACGAGTAGGTATGCGGACGGTCGCCCAAACGGAAGAATGCTGATAGCAATTTGGGAACGGGAATGGCTTTGACGGATGAAGGGGTTCACGACCCGCTGGATGCTCGCTACAGGGCTCGATTGGCGTGCACATACTTGATGTCGTGAATTCCTCAGGCTGGTCTCTGGGCATGCCAACCCCCGTGAACTGTAACCTACAACGATGCCACGGATTACGACGAAGAGGAAAATCATCGATCTATTGTCCTGCATTAGTGAGCGTTTGGCCAAGGATCCTGAACACACACCGAATTTACAAACGCTATATACTTGTGGGGTGTCAATTCACTTGCGACAGCGGTAAGATGCGGATCGTCGAGGCATTCGGCCATGCGTACGGGATCCAGCCATAATGCGATATATGAGCCGTGAGATGGAATATAGCCGGTTGTAGGCAAGTCTGACTCCATAGTTGCTCGTCCTGAGTAAAGCACAGGGTGATGGTGAGAGATGGGCGGGAAAGGTTCAAGAAAAGCGACTGGCATACCCCGGCGCCGAAGGACAGCTTGAGAACGGGCGCAATAGAGGCGCTGTCACCTGATCGCCAATCTCGGCATCGCTGTTGGCTGGCGTCCGGCGTGTCGTGCCGTCGCTGCAAAATCTCAACAGAACCATCCGTCGTCGGACTCTATGCGAACCAATTGCGATCGTCGTCCCCATACAAAAAAGGTCACGAAATTTAAGGTTTAAGGGCGACAAGGCTCCAACCACACCTGCGCGCTTCAACGCAGCGAAAAGTCAAGTCCATAGAGGTAAGCAAAGTCAGCCTGCGCCCAGTGGCAGCCGGCCAGACATCTTGTTCCTTTTGCTTGTCGATCATCTTGAAGTCCCGCGCGAAATGCTTGGACACTGTGTCTGCACGCTCGACGATGTCTGAGGGCACCCCAGCCACGCTGACAACGGTAGGAGAAAGATGCACCCTCCTGAAAGTGAGTGTCGGTGAACGCCATTGACCTCCCGCTTCTCATCATCCATAATCGTTTCCATATGCACATTGCGAACGGTGGAGTGATGTGCGAAATCGTTGGTCAAGGAACCGTAGTGCACCGGAAGAATGAGAGAGCCAAGGTATGCGTCGCCAGCCGGTGTAACGCGGCCTACGAACACGATACGGCCAATGGGTGATTCCGAGTCTGAGGGCCATCCTGCGGCCCACTCGCCCCTGCAACGGCGATCCCGTCCTGCATGGAATACATGAGTTAGTTGGCGTTATGTCGAACGAGAGGCGCACGCATATACATCGAGGTGCCTCTCCATGCCTAGACGTCATTCGCGTTAGAGTCAGAGTGCACACCACACAGTAGTAGTACCACGTACCATCCAGGATCACAAACGAATGTGGCGTAGTGTCTCGCAGGATCGCGTGTAGAGAAATAGACAATCCGCACCATTCATCCAGCTCAACTTCAAGTGTGAACGTGCTTGCGTTGGGAACCATGTTGTCGTAGGCGCCCATGCGAGTGAGAATAGCATCGACAGGATACAGCCTGAGGTATCTGACTTGCGACTCTATAGCAGTTATATGCATGGCCTGCATCATCCGTGAGAATCGCCCCTGTTCAGGCGGAATAGCTGAATTCACTGTAGATTTCATTCTGTGTACGATCAAGAGCCCCATGAGTATACGTAAATCCAGGTTTGCTAGAATTAAAGGACCTCGCCACATATTCGGTCCTACTCAAGGAGCAGCAGTCAATCCACATAGGTCAAGAACACAAGCCAGGCCAACCTGTAAGCAACGCTGTTCTGCCCGCGTCAGCGCGGCCCGCCCAAATCGACGTTATTGGGTATGAAGTCGCCCTGAGTTAAGCCCGGTGCGTTCACGGAAAGCAGAATGGCTTGGTATGGAGAAGTAGCACGCAAAGCAAGCAGTATGGCTGGACCACCTCTCAATCGTGATGCATGATTACTGGATTTCCGTAGTGTACACCTGTGCTAGGACTGAAGCAAGTCACACTACGTACAAGAATTGAGGGGGGAGGGAGATAGCGGCGTGCACAGCCGTGCACGGGTGTCGCGTGCGTCGTTCGTCCCCAGCAGATCGCCCGAGAGATCGACTACCAGCAAAATAGGCGGCGGCGCATAGACGCGCAGCACTGCCTGCTGCGAGAAGGCCAACGGTGCCACCGTTGTAGATGTATAAACCCGCATAGAGGCATCTCTCTGCGCCACGGGGCCGTATGCATCAGATACCCGCATCGTGTCTGATACCAGGTGCGGGACCGTTGGTGGTCATGGTGAATGCGTGCGTCAATACCAAGGTGCTTCGTCTTCTGTGATCAGATAAGCAGACGTTACTGCGGTGTGTTATATAGCCATGTACACGGCATGGAAGGCCTTCCTGACGGTAAAAGCATACCTGGTCTAGTAGTGTCCCGCTTGATGTCGCTTCGGATGAATGAGTCCAGATGTCTCTAGAGTTGCATGCGGAGTATATGATGAGTATGACAGCGTACATGGTGTTTGACGTGAAAGAACCGAGTACGGGACAGCTGAGTCGAGGTTGGCTACTACTTCGGAAGAGGTTAGGGTCCCCGTTTCCACAGGCGGAAGGCCTGGAAACAGTGAAATGGACAACTTTCCACGACAGTTTGAGATTGAAATAAACTCACTGTGCTGAGCAACTAGTGCTTCCTGTTTGTCCCAATCCTCGTCAAGATATCGAATATGTTTCATTCTCTCCCATCCGAATAGCATCACGGCATCTCCATAATCCATGGGACGAGCATTTCTTTGACTCGAACACCGAGTCCATTAATGCTTATCCTGAGTATCGCACAACATGAAATTGAGAGATGGGCGGCGAGAGAGCGACTGGGATGTGGTAGCCTCAGTCCCCGGGCGAAGAATAGCTCCATGAGGCCAAACAATAGAGACGCTCAAAGCGTATTTGGTGTCACTGTATCCAAACATGCCTCTTGTGTCGCGCGCCGACTGAGGCTCAAGTCATGTCTGCCGCATGTATTCCATATGCACGCAGCCGCCTGACTAACACGCCTGTTCCTGGGGGAAAGGCATAGACTGGAGGAATAGTTTCACGCGCCCACGCGTCAAGGCTGGTCTATTGGGCATCATGCCATTACATGAATATTTGCGTACTAGTAAAGGACATCAACATTCAAACAGCGAGGCGAAAGCAAATGTAATATAGCTGGTCGATAGCAATTTCAAAACAGAGTAGGAATGCTCTCTTTTGTGAACGGATACATTCCTCAAGCGGATCTGAAACTGGAATAACAAAACAAATACGTCGTTGTGGGCTCAGGCTGTACTCCAATTGGTATATATTCTGAGTAGGCATCCACGGCACCATACCCAGTACGAGAATAGCATCAATGCTCGTCATCACGCACTTTGCGGAGACGAACCGCCCGGAGAATGCTTGTTGAGACCGCAGTAATCCGGGCGCTGACACGACGTACAAGCCCAGCAAGCTTCGCAGGGAACCAAGCTTCAGGGAGATACATCAGTATTGTGTTAAACGTCGTGCGTGAACACGAACCTTTCGATGAGCGAGATGAAGTATTGACAACATCCTTCTCTGCGTGTGGCGATGGATCAGCCTCAGGAAAGAGCAGTTTGTCCTCTGTCTCGGGTTGCGCCACGGGCGGCGTATCGGCAAGATGTTCGGTTACTGTGATGGCCGGTCCCGCACAGTCACGAATGTTTTCAACGATACTAGCACCAGTGATAAAGTTGCTCGCGGGTGAGTCCTGGGCCAAAGCGTGCTCCTCTGCAGGCACCAGGACAAGACACTCTTCCTTCTGGACATCATCGAGGGATATGACGGAGACAACCGCCCCCGAATCGCTCACATCTTCCAGTGTACCGTCACGCGCCTTTTGAATGAGCCTGACGTGCACTCCAATCAGCAAATCGGCATTCAGTGAATCCAAAGTGAAATGCACTCGGCCATGAATTCGGCTTCCTCCAGAAATTATACGGGGATCCGCAGGTTCTCCTCTTGCTGTCAAATCGTACGAAACTTGTGCTAGGGGAATTAGATCAAAGGCGGGATCCGAAAGCTTTGGGAAGAGGAAAGCGTCAAACATTACATAAAGGTCTTCCATGTCGTCAGCGACAGTAGAGGCATCGGATCCATCGCCATCATCGGCAGCAGATGGAAAATCGAAATCGTCACCGGACGCAGCCATATCCATGTCAGCACTGGCCACATCGGGATCAGCATCATTAGGATCGAGTGGCTTCTCGCTAATGTCCGCTGTCTTGAGCCACTCCACCACGCGATCTGCATTCTTGAGGTCGATGGCTACATCTGCATTTTCGGCGATAGCTTCAACGCCATCTAACTGTGTATCCGGCTGCATTGGTACCGGCGGTACCGGTGAAATACCTGAACATAAAGCATCAGCTTTCATAAGTTAGGTACGTCTCCCGACTGTACATGACCTGTTTGGTCCAGCAGAGTATTTCGCTTGCTATCATCTTCGTCCAAATAGTGATAAAATCTGTAGATCTCTGGTACGGGTAGCGATGCGGCGTCTTTGTAGTCCCTCCACTCGGGAGGGATGCGCACCGTTGCGGAGACATGAGAATGCTGATAGCAGTTCGCGAACGGGAACGATCCTGAAGGACGGAGGGTCGGGATGTTGGCTTGCAGGATAAACAGGAACACACATGTTGGAGATTATGTGTTGGTCTGGTTGGTCTTCCGGCATACCGATCCCGACAAATCGCATAAGGCTACGATGCCATGGACGATCGGGCATCGGGAAATCTAGGTTCTGTCGAAAGCGGTCAAGTAGAGTTCAAAAGACGCATAGGAAGCTACGCACCTTATCTACAAATCCAATGTACTTGCGAGGAAATAGTTTGCGTGCCGCCGCTCGCACACGAGGGTCGTCAACGCATTCCGCCATCTTGACTGGGTCCAGCCAAAGAGCAATGTATATGCCACGTGTTGGATCAAACTCAATTGTCGACAAGTTCTGCAGCACGTCCCGCAGCATGGAGGGCGAGGATAGGAACGCACGATGCAATGCACGAGCAGACGAGGATGGTACGCCCTACGGCAAATACCGGTCCCTCTAAGCCCACACGGATAGAACACACAAAATAATGGGATTGTACACTGTTACCTCAGCTATATCGGTCTGCTCGGTGCTATCTGCTCTGATAACTATTGCATCCTTCCGCCTGATGCTCATAGGTTCAATCTCACAGGCATCATAACGCTTCTCAGTACAATTTCTTTAGGTCAGAAAATGAATGATTATTGTCCTGAATCCATTTTTTATCCTATCGAGACACAAGAGCATAGTTCTCGCGTTGAGGCTTGCTATTCGTGATCAACATCATACCCTGATTATGCCTCGACGCACAGGCTTGATACAGGGTATCCGAGAGTAAGATGATTCGTCCTACCATGTAGGATAATCACCTTCCCGATGTCTGTAGTAGTGAGGGCGGCTGGTCATGGGCGGATCGGCCTGCGGTTACACTAGAGTGTCGTCGGGGTGTAGTCCTAGTCGTCATGACTACTTCGAAGACAAAGGAGTCTCCTGACGTTGACCACCAGCGCGGAGACCTGACGCTGACCTCGCTTCACAGAGCCTGCCGGGAGCCGGTTTTGAGCACACACCGGCAAGGCACACGGGGACGTATGCGACAGCGCATTTTTCAATGCGGAAGACAAAGGTCTCTTGTCCCCCTTTTTCATTCGTGCCAATCGCCAGAATGACCGAGCCTCTGGCAAGGCGATCACTCCCTTGGTTTCCGATGTGGGCTTGAGCGGCGCATCAGCTGAGCGCTCCACCGCTGTCTCCTGAAAGTCCGAGCGATGGCCACTGGTAGCTTTGCCGCAGTTTGGATCAGTGATAGCCTCATTGTGTACCAGAGTAGGCTCCGTAGCGAGGCCCTCAACTAGATCCTCAACCAATGGCGCTACAGCGTTAGGTGCTTCTGGACGATGGTCGGCTAACGCGCCATCGCGTGCTTTCCGGATGAGCCCAGCCCGAAGACGCGATTAGCGTACGAGGAAGTGAAAAGGTCGAAGTTGAACGAACTCGGCCATTGCGTCTGCTTTCTCAGCGAAGCCACCTAAATCAGCGCATTCTACTCCTTCTGTCAGATCGAACGATGAGTTGACAAGAGGAATGACGTCGACATCGACACCACCAAAATGGCGCGAATGGCAGGCCGTGCTGCGAATCTGTAGTAAAGGTCCATGTGAGAAATGAACACAGCAGTTGCAAAGCATGACGGACAAGACATTGTGGGACGTAGCATGCTGCTGCAGTCTTGTGACGCTGACGGCTCCGTCGCGCTTTGCATACCTCTATGGACCTGCGACGGGGAAGGACGAGCCGCCAGGAAACAAAGTTAGCCTGCGCGACCAGTGGTAGCCGGCCAGAAACATCGTCGCCTTTTCTTGTCGGTCTTCTTCCATGCGAAACTCTTGGATGCTAGACCTGCGCGCTCGACGATGTCCAAGGAGACCTCAGCCAAGCTGGCAACGTGTGCCGAGGAAGGAAGACGCGGCATCCCCGATAAGCTTATACGCGCAGAGGGCAGGATGGCTTGGTGCGGGGCAGTGGCACGCAAAGTAGGTCGCATGGCTGGACCACCTCTCCATGTGCAGCCACGATGCACGAATACTGGGATTCCGTAGCGTACGCCCGTGCTAGCACTGAAGCAAGTGACAGTATGTTCGATGATGGGGGGAGGGGCGACAGAGAAGCGCGTTGTCGGATATGATCATAGACGGTCTGGTGTGTGGGGAGAGGGAATGTGCGGCCGCTGACTGCGGCGTGTTGCATGGCGTTGGAGGCCTAACTGACATGCCGAGTCTGGCAGTGTCCCGCTTGAAGCCGCGTGGTTGAAAAAGCGTGCATGCCTCCGGATTGGCATGCGGAGTGTACTCTGAGTATGAGAACGTAGATGGTGCTTGACGCGGAAGAACCGAGGACGGCCGGAGAGTTGCCGCGGTGGGCCTGCCGTGATAAGTATGGGATATGGATAGGCGTGCGAACGCAGTCGAGAGCTTCTGTATGCGGGGCGCGAGAAGTCGTGCGATGGTGAAATGATCGTGCTGCGAGGAGCGAGAGGCATACCTGTCAAGGACAGGACGGGTCTCACTTGTGGCGACACGCAGCTATGATGGTTGGCACAGATTCGTCGAAGCACGCTCGTCTTACTCATGCTCCGTGCGGACACGCCGCGAGGGAACGGGCATGGACGCGGGAAGAGCTGGATGCCGTCACGATACAGCCGGCGCAGGCGCAGAGCTCCACAGCGGGCGGTATGTGAGTAGGGAGAGCGCGTCGACGGGCGGTCGCATAGCGCGGCACGGGACGGCATGGACGAGAGGCACAGCCATGGCAGACGCGGGGCGTTGTGGCCGTCTAAGAATAGCCGGCTGAGAATAGCACGGCGCGCCATGAATAGTAGCGCAGGGTTCGACTCCTGCTGCGCGCGGGGAGGGGATGAGCTGGCATTGGAAGCAAGAATAGACACGCAGGGGCGCAGCGCAAGGACAGGGACGGCAGCTCCACAACGTCTATAGCAAGTCGGGCAGCGATCGGGAGGCGGGGGGAGGATGCCGCGGGGAAGAAGGCCGGCGTGAGCAAAGAGAGCAGGCGACCTGCCATACAAGGTCGACGGCCATCACGATCACGGCCGGCGCGGCGGAGGGGAAGGGCAGGGGATGTTCATAAACGAGGCTGCGAAACGACTAAAAGAACTGCTGCTTTCACGCGTGCCCCCGCTCGTTCATCCCCGCTCGTTGCCTCTGCCTCACTCGCTTCTGTCTGTGCACCGTGATGCTGCTCTCCTCCTGCTCCCGGGCGGTGGGTGCGATGCTGTCCGCCCTCCCTCTTCTCGCGCTCCTCTCCGCACTGCCGGGTGCTGCTGCCCAAGGCGAGACCTGGTGCGTGGCGATCGGCGGTGTGCCGTGTTTGGCTCACGCTTGTGCAGTAACACGACGACTCTGTGCTCGTCCGCCAACCCGTGCTGCAGTCCCTATGGCTACTGCGGTAGCGGCGCTGTGAGTCCCCTCCCTCCATCGCCAATCCCGTGCGCGCGATCCGTCCCTCCGCATGCTGATCGCCGCCCCCTCAGAACTTCTGCTTCGGCGGCTGCGACCCGCTCGCATCCCACTCGCTCACGTCCTGCGAGCCCGAGCCCGTCTGCCAGAACGCCAACATCTCGTTCAACAGCTTCGACCGGATCCTCATGAACCAGTCGCTCTACGACGGCAACGCGTCCCGCTGGGACTTTATCCTCAACGAGGGCAACATCCAGAACACGTCCGCCGGCGAGCTCGTGATGCTGCTCACGGAGAGCAACGGCGGCACGCGGCTGTCGTCCACGCGCTACGTGCACTATGGCCAGATGACCGCCCGTCGTGAGTGCTCATTTGTTTCTTCTGTTTTCTTTCTTGTCTCCGCGGCTGCGGACGGGCCGCGCTGTGTACGCTTGATGCAACGGCTGGCTAACCCTACTCCGCAGTCAAGACGGGCCGCTGGGGCGGTGTGGTGACGGCGTTCATCACGATGTCGGACATCAAGGACGAAATCGACTGGGAGTTCCCCGGCAACGAGACGTCCCAGGGCCAGACCAACTACTTCTGGCAGGGTGTCATCCGTGAGTCGCGCGCACGGCCCGCTCGGTGTGTATGGCTCTGACTGTCCCGCAGCCGCACAGACGGCCGGTCAGACGACGGGCAACTTGACGGACACGTTCAGCAACTACCACGACTACACGGTGCGTGGTCTGTCTCCCGTGTGCCGTGGTGGGCACTGATACCCACCCCGCCGACAGATTGACTGGCAACCGGACCAGCTGCAGTGGCTGGTCGACGGGAACGTGGTGCGCACGCTGCTGCGGTCGTCGGTGACGGACAACAGCACGGGCGTGAGCCGGTACCCGAACACGCCGAGCCGCATCGAGCTGAGGTGGGTGGGGCGTTTGCTGTATCTGTGCGTCTGCTCACTGGCGCACACGACAGCATATGGCCTGCGGGGATCAGCAGCGAGCCGCAGGGCACGGTGGAGTGGGCGGGCGGCTACATCAACTGGAACGACTCTGACTACAAGTCTGCTGGTACGTCAATGACATGCGCTCGCTCGCTTTGTCGTGCACTGACCCCGCGCGATGTGCAGGCCACTTCTACGCATACGTAGACTCGGTGTCGATCACGTGCAACGACGCGACGCCGGCGTCGTCGAACGTGACGTCGTACGTGTACGGGAGCAACTCGACGGGCAACACGCCGAGCATCTCGTTCTCGAACAAGAGCACGATCGTGACGACGGGGGCGGCGGCGCCTGCCACCGGCTCTCCGCGGTCGGCGTGGGCGATCTTCGCGGGTGTGCTCGGGGCCGTTGCGCTGGCCGGGGCGTTCTAAGCTCGCGGTCGTCCACGGAGTGTGTGTGCGTTTGTGCGTGTGTCGGGAGGAACGAAAGGTCGTGTACTGGATACGTGTTCCTGGTCTGTTACGAGACTGGCTCGGACCTCGCCCTCGGCGCTGGTTATGATCGGCTACGGATATACGGATGTGTGCTCGGATTTTGGATTGTGATAGCGTTAGTGCGCGAATAATACGCCGCCGCCGCCGTCCTCGTGCGCGGTGCGCAGCCTGTCTTTACGTGTCTTCTTGGCTGTTGGCTATAGGTATCTGGTACAAGTTCTGCTGGTGTTGTACAATCGATGTACGGAAATCCCGGTGCGCGTGCTGGTGCGCGCGTCCTACGATTTACAAATTATCAAGGTGCGATCGAGCGAGCGGGCGGCGATCGAAGAGACGTTTCCATAAGATGCGCATAGGATGAACCAACAATTATACAGTGTATGTAGCTCTACAACATATCCCCATCTCGCTACTTGAACGGCGACATCGGCTCGTCCAGGTCGACCAACACCCCGCTCCCCTCCCCTACATCCGTGTACTCGCCCACGCTGTCCTCTCGGAACTCCTCCATCAGCTCCTTCGCCTCCTGCAGCACCGCCTCCACCGCCTCGCGCCGCGTCCACGCGCGCACCTCCACCTGCTCGTCCTCCCCCTCCCCCAGCGGCAGCAGCGCCGCGTACCCGAGCACCGTCTGCGCAAGCCGGATCCGGCGGTACGTCGCGCGCACCAGCGCCGCGCCCGTCACGAGCATCTCCCGCGCCGCCGCCAGCGCGCGCGCGCCCTGCTCGCCCCCGC